CTACTTGCAGTTCTCGCTCGCTTATACTGTTTCACTCATAATTATTTACCACCATGTTTACCAGAGTCGACAAGCTAGTCCATGCGGGAAACTGATGTTCTTTGCTAGCGAGATCTTTGCACGTACCAGAAGCAGCAGTACCAACTGTACCTTCGGTCCTGAACTGTATATCTCTGGCTAATATCTCCTGCTTGTGCGGCAGCACTTTAGTGGTTGCTTGGGTGGTCACTTACTTTCTGACGAGGGCCATTCATTGGGGGTCAAATTCTACCGGTATTTTGGTACGACAAGTTCTGCCCGTCAGATTTTATTCCTGACCATTTTCTGTAATGCAAATTTTGATCCGATGATCAGGAGCTAGTTCGTCCTAACAACTTTCGAAATTCGTTAAAACGTTTCAGATATGGTTATGTGCCAAACGGAAACAGAGTGTATTACCTGAATCGGTCTCAGCCACCGTTGCTTACTTGGTGCCTATCAGCATATTATGAAGCTACAGGTGATAAGGAATTTGTGCTGAATGGCGCTCGTTGGTTCGAACGAGAATACGAATTCTTCCGAGCACACAAGTAATTCGTTTTAAGAAAACTTTACAACTCCGTTTTCTACCAATATCTTAAAATAAAAGAAAAAAGCTTTCCGGATGGCAGTGGGAAAAATCAATTTCATTTAATTACTAGATTATTTACCTAAAAACAAAAATAAAAAAAACTTATTAAGACCTGGGGGGGGGCAAAATGCGTCACAGAATCTTTCCAAATTCTTCAAACTGACGGGATTTGTAACTCTCTATGTCTCACTGCTATTTCCACACTACATTGAGGTGCTTGGGTTGGAATTTTTGGGCGGCATTGGATTTTTTTCGTGACGAATTTAACATGAAAAAACCGTCGACAAAATCGCTTCTGTAATGTATTATAAATTGGTTTGAAACTGGATTTTGTCCACTGTACACATATTATTCTCATATTATAGTTTTACAGTAGTACAGATCCTGTTATTTTCATGTTCCTTTTCTTCTCTAATGTGAGCCTAAAGAAAGATTTTTGATTTACAGATCAATTCAGCTATCGGGTTTAGCATCACCACTCTATCGCTATCACGTCGTTGCCGCTGGCCCACGTCCAGAAAGTTATCGTGAGGACGTTGAAAGTGCACATCACATTGAGGACATCCTGGAAAAACAGCGTCTCTGGGGTGACATTGCAGCTGCAGCGGAAAGTGGTCGTGATTTCAGCTCACGTTGGTTCTCGCAGGAAGGGCCCGTTGCTGGCAAAATGGGATCCACAAGGTTCGTTCCTGCGCAAACGTCGTGATAGCTGAATCAGTGTGAGTGGTGTTGCCACACGTAAGTTTGGGCTGTGCTTCAGTCCAAATTCTTGT